GTCTGGCACTCCCTAGTGAGATGAACCCAGTACCTCAGTTGAAAATGCAGAAATCACCGGTCTTCTGTGTCACTGGCGCTGGGAGCTGGAGACTGGAGCTGTTCCTATTCAGCCATCTTGCTCCGCCCCCGCATTTTTCCTCATCTTTATGGATTTATCTACCTATGGTCTTTGTTCTTGATGACCTTCAGATGGAGTTTTTGTGTGGTTGTCCTTTTTGTTGATGTTGATGCTATTGCTTTCTGTTTGCTGGTTTTTCTTTTAACAGTCAGGCCCCTCTTCTGCAGGTCTGCTGGAATTTGCTGGGGGTCCACTCCAGACCCTGTTTGCCTGGGTATCACCAATGGAGGCTGCAGAACAGCAAAGATTGCTGCATGCCCCTCCCTCTGGAAGCTTCATCCCAGAGGGGCACCCACCAGATGACAGCTGGAGCTCTCCTGTCTGTCGACCCCTGCTGGGAAGTGTCTCTCCATCAGGAGGCATGCAGCTCAGGGACCCACTTGAGGCAGCCTGTCTCTTAGCAGAGCTCGAATGCTGTGCTGGGAGATCCACTGCTCTCTTCAGAGCTGGTAGGCAGGAACATTCAAGTCTGCTGAAGCTATGGCCACAGCCACCCCTTCCTTCAAGTGCTCTGTCCCAGGGAGATGGGAGTTTTATCTACAAGCCCCTGATGGGGCTGCTGCCTTTCTTTCAGAGATGTCCTGCCCAGATAGGAGATATCTGGAGAGAGAGTCTGGCCACAGCGGCTTTGCAGCACTGAGGTTGGCTCTGCCCAATCCAAAATTCAGGGCAGCTTTGTTTACACTGTGAGGGGAAAACTGCCTACTCAAGCCTCAGTAATGGTGGATGCCCCTCCCCACACCAAGCTTGAGTCCCAGGTCATCTTCAGACTGCTGTGCTGGCAGCGAGAATTTCAAGCCAGTGGATCTTAGCTTGCTGGGCTCCATTGGGGTGGGATCCACTGAGCAAGACCACTTGGATTTCTGGCTTCAGTTCCATTTCCAGGGGAGTGAATGGTTCTGTCTTGCTAGCATTCCAGGCACCACTGGGGTATGAAAAAAAACTCCTGCAGCTAGCTTGGTGTCTGCCCAAACAGCTGCCCAGTTTTGTGCTTGAAACCGGGGCCCTTGTGGTGTAGGCACCCAAAGGAATCTCCTGGTCTGTGGGTTGTGAAGACTGGGAAAAGTATAATATCTGGGCCAGAATGCACTGTCCTTCATTGCACAGTCCCTCATGGCTTCCCTTGGCTATGGGAGGGAGTTCCCTGACCCCTTGTGCTTCCCGGGTGAGGTGATGCCCCACCCTGCTTCAGTTCTCCCTCTGTGGGCTGCACCCACTGTCTAACCAGTCCCAGTGAGATGAACTGGGTACCTCAGTTGGAAATGCAGAAATCACCCACCTTCTGCGTTGGTCTCACTGGGAGCTGCAGACCGGAGCTGTTCCTATTTGGCCATCTTGGCCTAATCATGCCATACTCCTATAATACTTTTTTGTACATTTTCTCACCACATACTCTGTGATCATTTCTTCATATTATAGTGATTTTGTAATATCATTTCCTAAAAAATCTTTAGCATAATTGATCAAATGTATTTTTCATTTTTGATAGTTTAGAAGTTTCTTCGAACTTTATAAGTTATTATTGACGATGACATGAATATTTATAGGACTGCTATTGCATTTGGTATAAGCAGCAATGGCTTTTCAAGAGTTCTTATGCAGTGATTAATTTCAAATACTGTTTGAATCAATGACATTCATTAACCAGTTTTCCATCAATGCTCCCATTATAGCAGTGTTTTCTGATATTTATGTCAATAAATATCATTAATGTCAATATTTCTTGAAAACGCAGCAAGAACTTTAAATTCTTCCAATGTGATCATATGATTCATTCTTCTTCATTACTTGGATAATTAGACAAAACAAGAGCCACTTCATTACTTATGTTCTAAATTTATTTTTTCATTTTAATAAATTTTTGCTTTTGGTATGACCTGAAATTTTTCATTATGATTTGCTCCTCAATATCAGAATAACCTCTACTGATTTTACCACTCACCTTTATTTCATATTTCACACGTTTTTATCTTAATTATATACATGTAAATAAAAATTTTTAATTCTAAAATAAGGCACCTCTCACATATCTATATAAGAAATCTGTAATTTCTCACTTACTTCATTGAAACACTCCAAAACATCTTGCCAAATGCAGTATTTCTTCAAAACCCAGGAATTCTGATGAATTTGATATTATACAATTCCCACTTAAAAAGGGAAAAAATAGTACAGCAGATTTAGAATAGTATATACTGCTTATCAAGTATACTCAAAATGAAGCTTCATTTTGCAAAGGTGTCAATGAAAATCTAACCCTCCACTTACAATTTTATACATCTAATAAGCGGAAATATTTCCACAGAGTAGCTTCTAGACCCATACATTGTAAATCTCGTCTCTCCTATACTAACCTGTGGGTTACTTCTGGCGCCAGACCCTATAGGACAAGTTTCTATTACAATATGACCTCTGGACTTAATGTCACCCCACTGGGAAAGTTAGACCAGCAGAAAACAGAAGTATTTCTTGAAGTCATTTCTATTTCAGACAGCTTACATAGCTTTATTATATAGGGAAGTAACTGCGCAATATAAATATAATTCCCAACTCAACTTTTTAGCCAGATCCCAAAATGTCCACAGCCACTCCAGCACCTGATGTGACAGGAAACCTGACTAAGAGTGAGACAAAATGCAAAGAGAAATCGTTCCTAATTGATTGCAGTTCAAATGTCTTACTTTTGCAAAATGAAAACATATGACCCTGCAAATATAATAGCAGGGCAGCTTGCACAACCTTGGAAGGAATGTGTGCAAGTGAGAGGCTGAAGTTTAAGCTTCATAGCTTCACACTAATTCTACTCTTAACCGGACCATTCCTCAAAACGGTATTGTTAATTCTACACTGAGTCTAAGAGGTAAGGCAGAAATCACTGTATTTTTGCTTCCCATGTATACCTTCTCATCAAGGACTGAATCATATACATTTTAGGACTATGATACACCTTTCCAACAGTACAAGCATGTGTGTGTATATCTAAGTCATACAAGATGCATAGCTTATAGGCATTGTAAAAATTTCAAATTATATTTTCCAAGTTCAGCATACAAAAATTTTAAATATGCAACTATATTGATTCATATATATTTGGGGACCTATATTTTTATTGCAGAAAACTGCCAATGAACTAAAAAGTGTGCTGCCAGCCTTAGACAAGGCAATTGTGGCTCTGAACGCCCTGGATAAAGCTGATGTCGCTGAATTAAGGTAACTCTCCTAAGTTTCTTTTGAATTGGAAAAGCTCAGAAAAAAAAAAACAACAACATAAATTCATGTTTACTAAGCCTATATTCCATTTTTAGCTTATATGCTAAGCCTATATTCCATTTTTTAACCTTGGTTTAAGATTTTTTACCCATCTTGGTTAAGTGTTCATTCTGTATGGTATATACTGTATCTTGTCAATTTTATGATGCCTTCAATTGTAAGGCTTATCAGTATTTTTTGTATCCTTAAGAAAAAATGCTGCCAGTTAAACTATGACGTGCTGTTTGTTATAAACTGAATCTCAATCTCTTTGATGTAAAAATGTGCATCTTAAAATTGACAAAATACAATACACAGTGAGCAAGAGGGAGTATCAGGAGATGACATCAGAGAAGTAACAGGGGCCAGTTCTTCCCCAGCACAGCCCCTCATGTACCTCATGACTTTGTTCCAGAAAGTTCTGTTCTTTTAGCTTTTTTTTCTAGCAGATATTCCATAGAGAGTGATCAGTTCAAATTCCCTTTAGCCTAATTTCTGAGGGCCAGTGTGTCATAGTGGTTAAGCACATGGGCTCTGATACCAAGCTTCCTGGCTTGGAATCCTGGCACTGCCACTTTCTAGCTATATAAGCTCTCTGTGCCTGAGCTTTCCTTTTGTGCAACAGTGATTGCAGATGTTGAAAGGACTGAATGAGTCAATACAGGTAAAGTACTTGTAACAGAGGCTGGAATAAGACAACTGCTCAATAAAGGTTACTTTCATGATAAGAGGTTTCCTCTGATCAAGTAGGCCCTTTTCCCTGCCCTAATAATACTACAAAAGCTAAGAAAACCAGCCTTGTCTTTGAACTCCTTGAGTATGTCTTGTTTGTTTGTTGTTTGTTTTTAAAGATCCTCCTTTGTTATATTGCTAATGTGTATTTTACTTTGCTCACTCCAAAATGCCACACAAATGAGGATGCCTTATAACCTGATCTCCATTGCTATTCTTGGACATGCAGCAGAGGCATCTAGCAGATGCACAGCTTAGTCCATTCTCTTTCCAAGCTGCTATTTCTATCATCAAAATGCCAATGATTGCCCCATGATAGTTTCATCCTTTGCCACTTTGCAACATGAACCACTAGAAGCAGGAAGTAGACAGTAGAAAATGCAGATTGGAGAAAATCAGGAAAGATCCAAGACAGACTACTTCTGTGAAGTAATAAAGAATTTCAAAGCAAATTTCCAGTAGACAAGTCTCACTTTGAATCAAATATTTATTCCTGGAAAGTGGCACAAAGATTGAACTACAGTCAATTTAAGCCTGTTTCCCCTTTAATTTAAATTAAATTTCCTAGGTAATACATTTTATCCTAGTATTATATTCACATCGTATTTGTTTTAAATAGCGTCAAACCTGGGTAAAATTGAGGAAAGGTTCCTTATTGGAGCGCTCACTTCTCCTTTGTGGACCTTTTCTCTTTTCCTAGTTCCTTGGTTATCTTTCTCATTATTTCAAAAAGGCCAAGCTGATAATCTCAGAAAAGCAACCTGAAAATTTATTTCAGAATAAGGTGCTAATGACTGAGTTATTCAATCCATTTGAAAATGATCTTCATTTTAAAATTAGACTATTAAAGAGACTAAACATTAAATCAAATGAACACATAGGTTAGAATTTCTAGTTGTACAGACACTGGGACCTACCTAAGGCTGAAGGATGGAAGGAGGGAGACAGTCAGAAAATGTAACTATTACGTACTGGGCTTAGTACCAGGGTGATGAAATAACCTGTACAACAAACTCCCATGACACAAGTTTACCTGTATAACAAACCTGCACATGTACTCCTGAAACTAAAATAAAAGTTGAAAAAAAATTCTAGTTGTGAAATTCAAGGCAGGGGACCTTCTTGGTAAGCCCTTTGGATAATATCATGCATGTAAAGTTGGCTTGGTTTCCTTCCTTCTTTGGGAAGTCTGTGCGATTTTCACTTGGGGAGGCTCATTACCCTGTGTGGACCTACCCTGCCTTGTTCCAAGTTCCAAATGCTGGTGCACAGCAACCATCACCCCCTTGTGATTTCTCTTTGAAACTTGCTTCTTATAAATGTTATTCTGACCCT